ATATATATATATATATATATATGTATGTATGTATGTATGTATGAGTGTGTGTATGTATCTGTATATTATAAATTTAATTAATAAATATAAGCTAATTATTACTATATACTAATTTAGTTTTTTTATGTATATAATTTAAAATATATAATTTATAGAAACGTGTATGTGTGTGTTTTTATACAGATATTAAAGAAAAGTAGAATGGATCATTTCCTCATACCGGGGCTTTTAAAAAACAAGAGGCCCACTAAGAGAGGAGAGAGTGATTCAGCTCCAAATTAACATGAAACATTTTATATATTGTGTATATAACTATTTGTATTTAATTCATTTCAATATTATAGAAATATGTATAATTATAATATTTTAAATTAATTATTGATTACAGTTGACTTAGACTTTTTGTAATTAAATAATGTATATGTTAAATAATTGAAAATTTAATTATTAAATAAAATATATTATATACTATTTTTTTCTGTATAATTGCTTGAATTTAATTTATATAAACATTATAAATATTTACACATACAACTCCAATAGATTTAATTTTTTTATTATAATAGGCTTAGCTTAGCTTAGCTTATTATCTACATTGAATAGTTATAAATTCAATTAATAAATTATATATATTTTGGCACACAATTTTTATGTATGTAATTGTATATATTTAATTTTTATAAATATTATAGATGCATAGGAAATTATAATATGATTTTTTTTCTAAAAAAAATATTATTTAACTTTCTTGAAAATGCTTCATTTATTGAATACAGTTTACTGTATTTGGAAGAAAAAAAAAATCCATTGTCCCTTATAAAACATTTGTCTTGGAAATTTGGATATCAAGGTTTAGTATATCTAATTTGATATTTTCCAAATCGGCTTCTTATATTTGTTTAGTTGAAAAATATTTTTTAAATTGATAATTAATTAATTAGCTAATGCACTGATTAACTAACACTTCTTGAAATGAATAAAATTTCATAAACTAAATATTATTAATTTACAGAAATTTTAACATACAATGCTAAAATATTTGAAAATTTTACGAGTTCAAAGTTTTATACTGATTAAATGTTTATTTTTTTTCCTCTATATAAAAAATAGATTGTCAATAGGTTTGTACCCTATTTATTTTATTTTTCTAATTAATTTTTGGAATTACTTAACTAATAATTTTATATTTAAATTTTGATTATATGATTGTGTTAAATATTTTAAAGAATATGGCAATTTTATCCAACTCGAGTATAATATACCTATGGTCAATATAAAAAAAATCTCTAAATAATTATATTATTATCGAAAATCAATTTAATATATGTTCCATAAATTAAGACTTAAGGAGATATTCCATAATTTTTAAAATTAAAATAACAAAAAGTAAAAAAAAAAAAAATGTCAATATTATGTGTTTGTTTGCTTGAATCCAAAAAATGGTGACACGTGAGTGGCGTGACATGACAAGTTAAAAGGGCACAGGTTCATTGTATTGTACATAAGGAAGGCTTGAGGAGTGGCTTTCGAACAGTGTTAAGATGGATTGTGGCTATAACATCATCATCACACATGGCACCCCTAGTGCCACCTCAATTTATTTTGCTGTTTCAAAAAAAAAAAAAAAACATCATCATCACACACATATATATATCTCAGATACCTTAATGGTGCAATCAAAGTTAACTTAGTTTCACATGTTGCTGTGGCCTTTGGCCTTTGGTTCTTCCATGCCCACGTGGGCCCCACCCCTTGACTCTCAAGTCATCTTCGGCTTAGAATCGTGGACCAACATTGCAATGTGGCTCCAAGATAACACCCTTCCTGTTGTGGAGTCCAGTTATGAAATACTTCCCTCTCTTTTGTACCCAACTTGCATATTTGAATACGTATCTACATCACGGGTGGCTCACTCGTAAATTTAATTACATTAACGTTCATCAATTACACCTACTCAACTCATACATATATATTTCCCCTTAATGAATAAATATTAAGTAAACACACACAAGCTATAATGTGTATATATATTCAAGATTCTCTAGCACTAATAATATATTGAATAATTTAAGCCAAGTATTATTACCTTATTGCCTCAATCTTCATTAATATAATGACCTGATTGTTACTTACCTTGACTAACCAGTTGTAGTTAATGTAAATTAATTATAATGAACTACAATGTTTTTGGTGAAATAATACTCTATTGTCACGTTTCAATTGACTAACTAAACATCATTTTTTGGCGTGTCAGCATGTGTTATAAGAATATTGGTTAAAAAAAATTATTATTTTCATGGAATTATTTTAGCAGTTTAAATACAAAAAATTATAACTTCTTATTAAATATTTCATTAATATTTTTTACAAGTTAGTTTAGATTATACGCGCCTAATACTAGGGTAAAATTATTGAAATAGAGTTGTTTGACAAACAATCTTATCTCATTAGCTTAAGGATTTTTGATACACTAATTTTTTTTTTCTTACAGCATTTCATACACTAGACAAAATAATATAGCTTATTATTATCAATATTTTAATAAAAATCTCCCTTTAATACTACACTGTTTATTTTTATTATTACATCATTTATCTTAGCTTTTGATAATAAAAAATATGACATTCTATCAAAATGATTAGAGTTTGAAATTAATTAAAAATATAATTATCTAAAAAAGGATGTCTACAAAATAAATAAGCTACATAAAAAATGATATATAGTTACGCCTTTATATACCATTTTATATGTATTAATCAGTTCAATGGATCAGTAAAAAAAAAACTAGTTCAATAAAAAAATAAAAAAATTTAGTCACAGAAATTGTAAAAAATAAAAATAAAAATAAAAATATGTGATAAAATAGTCGGTGGGTTGTTGTAATTTGTAAATAGGAATAAGTAATAGTAATATGATGTATATATACTAGTAGTCCTACGTTCAATTCAATTGCGGCTGCAAGTGGCACAATCCGGTGGATCCAGAAACCCTAAATATTAAGTTAATTTATTATTTCGGCTACTTTTAATCTTTTCCTGTTTACACGTGGCAACTTCTAAACACCTCGCTGTTCGGGACCACATCGATGGCTTCTCCTATAGGCACGCGGCCTACAAAGATTCCCCGCCGCCACGACCATCTTCTCTCTCTCTCTCTCTCTCTCTCTATCTCTACTATTCCTTCACGTTTTGCAACTCACTCTGCACGTGCACTCCACAAATTTACCAAACTACCCCTCAGGGCATCTTGGCTCCTGTGGATTGGATTGAATTTGAAAGTTGGTAATTTTGGATCATAGTGGAACTTTGTTCGTACGAAATCCAACAAAGCGTGGGAGAAATTTGGGGTAGGGTCCTTGGAATCGTACTTAGGTGGCAATTAACCTTTATTAACAACGATCATAATAATGGAGCCTTATGCTTAAACTTTTCAAACTTTTGTCGCTACCCTTCCAATAATACAATACCACACCTCTTTTTTAACCATCTAGAAACCAAACACTTTGGTTCACCTCCCGTGGACAAGCTTTCAAAAGTGGGATCACTTATTACTTGCATAATAACACTTGCAATAGGGAATTAATTCACAGATGAAAAAAAAAAAGGCTCTGTGGAATCAATTATGCACACGTCTTTACATTATAATATAGTTTAATTATTTTATTATACTATCATACTTCTAATTCACCAGTCCCTAGCTAGCTAGGGAATTAAGACGGGAAGAATCAAAATAAAACACAACAGAGATATTAATATAATTTCAAAGAATGAAATCTTATAAGAAAGCTCGAATTACAAATATTAATTTCCCACACCCCCTCTAAAATTAAGGAAAATTATAGAACAAAAAAAGTCCTTACAAATTAAACTAAAAAGTAATTCACATTTTCCTTCTCTTTGCTCTTGTAATATCCTTAGTTTAAAATCTATGTCCATCGTGGATCCTACGTGTGTCCTACATATGAATTTATTCTATTTTCTCATTTCTACCAACATAATTTTATCATCTGTAAATTTCACAGTCTTGCCCCCTTCCCCTCACCATGAATGTTTCACATGTTGTCCGAGAGTTGTTGAAAGAGCAACATGTTTTCAACGTTCCAGAAACCGTTGGACGAGTCTCCATTATTCTGAATCCACGGGGTGTTTGGTTCCATGGATTCGAAATCCATCTCATGAGGGAACAACCCTGATGGGCTAGTGATGCAATCTAAGAAGCTGAGTTGATCATGAGCTTGTTGGTGGTAGTAATCAGGATTAGGGTTATGGTTATTGTTACCACCAACCGTGACATTATTGTAATAATCCTGAGTCATGTCCGATACAGGTGAAACCTGAGTCCCAAACGAGTCCGATGATGCACCCGTGCTACTATTCTCCGGAGTGTAACTATGTGTAACATGTGAACCGCCAAAGTTGTTCTTCATAATAGCTGAACTCATCATCATGTTCCCACTATGAACCTCAATATTGTTGTTAATGTTGTTATTGTCATAGTTGTTGTATGCAATATTGTTGTTCGTTATGGTAGTAGTAGCACTTGCCGGTGAACCAGTAGTGGCAGCAGCGGCGGTGGTAGTGGCAGCGGCGGCGGCGGCTTGAATGCGTTCCACAAGCCTTGGCATCCAAAGGTAACGCATAGCATCCTTGAATTGCTTGCTATTCACGTCACATTTGAGTTGTTTGGCATGCTTTTGGACACGGGTTCTCCAATAGTTCTTAATCTCATTATCGGTTCTTCCGGGCAAATATTGAGCAATTTTGGACCATCTAATATATTAAACATTAAATAAAATTGTTATCAAAATATGAAAATTGAAATTAGTGATGAATTTAATTAAAAAAATATGGCATAATGTTTAGTTGCATGCATTATGCATATTGATTTTTGCTTACCGGTTTCCCCAACGACCATGGAGCTCGAGAATAAGAAGCTGTTCTTCGAGTGTGATGTTGCCACGTCGAACATCAGGACGAAGATAATTCAACCATCTCAATCTGCAGCTCTTGCCAGTTCGTTTGAGTCCTGTAACGAAAAGAAATTTCTTGTATTGGTAAAGTTTCGAGAAATCAAAACACTACTACAATGAGGGAAATAAAGAAAGGGCATTTTCTTTTTCCTTTATGGTACTATATTTTTTTTTGGGTACATATATGATTTTTAGTTGTGGTATCAATTCATGATTCCTTTTTCCATTTTCATAAATGGGGATGCAGCCAAGCAATAATCGACAACCTATGATTTCAAATTTCATTTTATGCCCCACCACGAACAAGTATATGCCATTATATATAAAGTCCTACCTAGCTAAAATAATCCCCTACCACATCATGATGCTCTACACATATACATAAGAAAACCGCAAACTTTGGCTTTTCTACCCCAAGAATTGATTGGTGATGAAACGGGACGAGAAGTGAAGGGCTTTTCACACCACAATCATGGAAAATAGTGGAACTAATTTTTCATTTTCGTGTCAACAATTGCAATCATGGAATATACATCACTAGTTGCCTATATGATATAGTATTATTATATGAGATGAAAGCTAAGAAAAAGAAAGTTATACTAATTAATTAAGTAATTACCGGCAGAACGGGCTAGGGAGTTCCATCGACCTTCTCCATGATTAGCAATGTAATTGATGAGAGCAAGGTCTTCATCAACGGTCCAAGGGCCTCTTCGAAGATCCATCTCATCCTCGCTTTGGATGGTGGTGGAGTTGTTGCATAACCTTCCTTTCACTTCCATGAGTCACCTAAGTTTGATTGATTGATTGATATTCAAACCCAAAGAGATAGTTGTTTTTTATCTAACAAGTGTGGTTTGGTTGAAGGGGTAGAGAGATTGAGAGAGAGAGAGAGAGAGGGTTTTGGCTTATTACGAAGAGGATAAAGAAGGGTGGGGGCTTTTTATAGATATTCGAGGATGGAGCTTGGAAAATGAGGGAGGAAATAAAAAAGGGAAAAAACGATAGAGGTGAGAAGTGGTGATGAGAGAGAGAAAGAAGAAACTAAGATGAAGAAGTAAAAAATTAATGATTTAATTAACGAAAGCTTAAGTCAGAATTTGGAGGGAAATAATTATTATTATGGCTTGTAAGTAAGAAAAGGCTACGAAGTTTGACGCTATAGTTTGACTTTCCCGGCTTTGTTGTGTGCGCGCGTGCGCTCGGTGACTCTATCACTTGTTACGTGCTCGTAATAATATTTTGCACCACATTTACTTAACAATATTATTTCTTATTAAAAATATAATATTTATTAACATTAATATATTTTTTAATCATGCTATTAGTGAGAAATCCACCAGCTTAATTGATATGACCATAGTATACATTTTCTGTAAAAAAAAAAAACTATTTTTTTATTATATTTTTTTTATTCATAAAATTTAAATTTGAAATTTTATTTAAGAAATTTGAACTAATGATTTTGTTGATAAACTTTCATCCTTTATTTCAATAATGTATAATACAATCTAAGGCTATATTATTAAAAATGAGACGAAGGGATTGAATAATACTCTGTTCTAACGATTTGGGATACCATATTTAGAATTATTGTTGAATTTTTTTTAACGCTCATTTGTATTTTCTAAATAATATTTTAGAAACAATTCTTACAGCAATTTATATAATATTATTTTTTATCTGTTTTTTTTTTCATCTTATCATTTATTATATTTTAATTTTTTCTCCTTATCTTTTCTCATGGTTGTAAAATTCATTGTACATTTTGTTGTACAAGTGTCCTTTCTCATATTTCATTAGGACGTACTTTTATTTTTAAAAAATAATATTTTAATTAGAAACAATTCTTACAGCAATTTATAATATTATTTTTTTAATCTATTTTATTTCATCTCATCATTTATTATATTTAATTTTTTCCTCCTTTATCATTTATCTTGGTTGTAAAATTTATTGTACATGGGTCCTTTAATTTCCGTATTTTTAGTAGGAGCTTTCTTGATGCTTTATTAATTTTTTTTGTCAAGTACTATGTCTTTAAAATTGAATTTTATGATTTTTAATTGTAAAAAACTGTATTTAGTTGAACTTTGAAAACAGATAATTTAATCATCGTTTGGTTTTTAATTATTTTTAGAAAACATTTTCCTACTTTAACATTTCAATAATTTGAAATATTGTTTGTTATCATAAAGAAAATATGCAAGAAAATATAAATGTAAAAAATAAATAGCGATAAAGTAAAAGAAATAAGAAGAAATAGAAAAAGTAAATAAATATTAAAAAAATGTATTTTTTTTTTAAATAAATACGTTATAATTTTTGTAAATAAAGATACTTTATTTTAATTAAATTATCTTCATAAAAAATATTTAAGAGATTTTTATACTCCAAGTTCAAGTGAATATTGCGGTTGTTGAGACTTGAGAGATCCTCTCTCTCTGTTTCGTATATAAATTTTGTTTCCAGATATTCCCAAATGACTTTTTCCCCCCTAGGATTCTATATGCTTATTCCTCTCCTATATCATAATTAAATAACCCGGAAAAGTTGAATATCGTAATTAAGTGCTGCATTAATTTTGAAATTTTATTATAATTTAATAGTGGGACCAAGTATAATTTAATAATAGTGGGACCAATAATTTTAATTTTATCAGAGAATTTTTTTTTGTCAATTTATAGTGATCATATCTAGTAATATATTATAGCAAAATTAATTATCCATAGTAAAAAAATATTTGTGATGTTTTTTTACATCATATTTGGAATATTTTTTTTTTCGTACAGATAAGAGATTTGATATGTTGAATTTTTTTACATTTCTAGAATCTTTAAAGTGAAAATTTTAGTTTATATATGTTTGTAGTTATTTTTTAAAATATAGATTCTTATAATATAATTTTTCAAAAGAATCATTTTTATCATATTTTCCTACACAAATATTTTCATAAAAGAAGTAGGAATCCAACTTTGTCAGTTAAGAGAAAATTTTAATACATATAAAAGACCACAATATTTAAAAAAAAAACATAAAATCTCTCCCTTTTTCTTTCCTTCTACTTCTCTTTCTTCCTCTCTTTCTCTTTCGCTTGCCCTCTCTCTATCTTTCTCACTCTCTCTCCCCCTCTCTTATTCTTCTCTCCCTTTCTCTCTCTTCTCCTTCTCCTTCTCTTTCTCTCTCTCTTTCTCTCTTTCTATCTCTCTCTCCCTTCTATTTCTCTTTCTCCCTCTCTATCACTCTCACTCCCCCTCTCTCTCCTTATCTCTCTCACTCTCCCTCTCTCTCCCTCTCGTATCTTTATTTCTCTCTCTCTTGTATAACATTATTTATCGACCTTATCAATTTTAATAATATTATTAAAGTTTATTTTATTTCTACAATTTAATGGTGTTTGTTAACATTTTTTAATTAATTTATTTATCTATTTGAATGAAATGAAATATAATTTTTATCCTTCTTAATTATTATGTAATATTTTTCTTTATTTATTTTATTGTTGAATTCTGTATTTATATAATTATAACTATAAGTTTTCAACTCTTTAAAAATATTTTATTGTCATATTTGTTATAAAATTTGAGTAAACAAATATATCTAATATATAAGTTTATTTTAGTAAAGAATATTTTTTGTAAAAAATATCAATATTCCTATGAATATAGTAGTATAACCAAACATGAAAAATTTTCATTCCTAAAAAGCCTATATGAATATTCTCATAAACTTTTATGAACCAAACATATTTTATGTATTCCCAATAATCATCATTTATAGGATTTACAATTTTCAAGATTCATGGATGTGAAAAAACTTCTCTCTTATCAAATATTTTCATAATGTTTAAAAACTGACAATAAAAAATTAATTTACATTTGTAAGACGTGACTTTTGTTAACTAAGTATTATTTTAACACACATGAAAATCAAGTTAAAAACATCATATCAACATCCTATATTTTAAAATAGGTTTCACAACCACTAAGTCAAAAGACTTGCTTACCATATTTGTAATATGTTAAAAAAGAAAAAACAAATATGATAACAATTGTTTTGGTAGGAAACTTTCAAGCTTTTTATGGATATTTATCTTAATATATAATATTCTCACTCAAGATTTAAACAATTTTGTATGAATTAATACATGTATGTTATAGATCAAAAATAATTTGACTTGTCTAAAATTAGTCGATATATATCGTATATTATATGAGTATCTCAATTCAAGAAAATATAATTAAGTTAAATTTAAAGAAAATATAAATTTGAAATAATTGAAAAATAAGTACAGCACATCAGAATTAATATATGTGAGAAAACTTTAATGTAAAAGTAGAATACTCGAAATAATTAAAGTAAATATTTTAGAATTTGAATTATTGCCTGTAAAAAAATGAATTTAAAATATTGATGTAAAAATAATTCTTAATATATAATAAAAATATTTGAACAAAATTAATATTTTGAAAATATTTAAACCTATAAAATAAGTATTATATAACACAAAGTCGTGTATTTTAAGAAAAATAAAAGGAACAAATATATTCAATGATGTAGTTCCTAAAATTATAATGATCGTGTGTGCAAAATTCTTTCAAGTTTGCAACAATCATAGTATTATAAGCGAAAATAATTTCTAGCCTAATGAGTTTATGAATGAGAGCACAAAAAAAAATGTTCTCTAAATTTTATAAAATGGTTAATAAAATTGTAAATCATCGATCATTAATTGTAATAATAATATAAAAAAATCATCTATCAATTTAATCATGGAAACTGCTACGGTACCTAATATTATTAAAATCTATTTTATTTCTACATTTTAATGATATTTGTTAGTATTTTTTATTGAATGAAATAAAATAATATATTTTTATTCTTCTTAATTATAGTGTAGCATTTTATTTTATTTTTTGTTTAATTTTGTATTTAAATAATTTTAATAAGTTTCCATCTTTTTAAAATAGTTTAACATCATATTTGCAATAAGATTTAAGTATAAAAAAATATATAACGAGTTTATTTTAAAGGATATTTTTGTAACAAATATTTATAAACCCAAAAATATACTATTGTAACAAAATATAAAAATCTTTAATTCTCATAAATTATTTTTTTTTTTTTTTTTATGTGTTATAGTGTAAATTAGATATTCATCTGTATGATATAATAATAATAATAAATTAATAATTTTTTTTATAAATTTAAGTATAACTTTCTTAAATAAATAAATTTTTTAAAAAAGTTTAAGTCTAACATTTTTATTAAATACATCAGAGATGATCAAACTTTCCAGATCAATATATAATGTTATTGTAATAATAAAAAAATTATAATTATTACATCACAATATCCTATCAATATAAACTAGTAGAGTTATAAGTTATAACACCCTTAATAACTAAAGATTTAATTATAAGATTTTCCAAATTATTTCTAACTATTCGAGGCCTAATTAAAAAAATTTAAAAATTATATAGAAACATACAGAATATATAATTTAACCAATAATTTTTTTTAAATAGTAAAATTGTTCAAAATAAGATTTAAACCTTAGACCTCTTCTTCCTACATAAGGATGACCATAACCACCAAAGTCACTAGTAATTTAACTTATTTATTTTATATATAATTAAAATATGTTATATATATTTTTTTATTTCTTTTATTAATTGCACTTTTGAAATCTTAAAACATATTTGTTATGCGAAATGTTTTTACATTCCTAAAATCTTAAAATAAGAATTTGAGTTTTCCATGTTTAGTTAATATTTAAAGAAATTTTAGAAATATAATTTTTCAAGAACTATTTTTATTTTACTTTTTCATAAAAAAAAAATTCATAGGGTGTGAGAATCCAACTTTTCTGAGTTAAGAAAAAAGTTTTATGTATATAAAAATATTACAATATCTCTTTTAAAACAAAAAATATTTATCTCCTTCTATTTCTCTTTCTCTCATTCTCATTTTCCCTCTCTTTTCCTCTCTCCCTCTTCCTCTCCCTCTCT